CCGAAAAGGTCTTTCCTCTTCCTGCCCCAATTTGTATGAGGTGGAAGAAAATTTAGAGACCCCCAAATATGAATTCTACCTAGATATTATACATTAAAAACCTCTTTAGCCACAGGAAAACGGAATGAGTCTGTTTCTTGGTTCTTTCCTAACACCGACAGTGAAAAGAGAATGTTATGTTTTTTTCGTGTGATAGTGACTTCAGTGGTGAGATGTACAAAGGGCAAGAGAGATCCAAGTGGCATAATTTACAATGGCAAGTATTAGATCATTTTTCACAAGCACTTTTCTTTTCTTTTTCTTTATTTTTTTTACAAAGTAATAATCATAAATAAATAAGAATAAAAATGTGTGCCCCACCACCAAGACCATTCCATTATAACTATCCAACCTCCCAAATTTTCAACACCTCTTGCAATGGCTTGACTCCTTTCCGTTCTAACAGTACAAATTCTACCAACAACCTCCATATTTCCTCAAAATAATTTCTCCTGCATGCTCCCCATCTTACCTTAATGGCACATGTTAATTTATCATTAATAGCTATATCCCACACCTCTTTATACCATTCTTCCATTTTACAGTGTTACCTCGGGTTAAAGAACTTAATTCGTTCCGGAGGTCCGTTCTTAACCTGAAACTGTTCTTAACCTGAGGTACTACTTTAGCTAATGGGGCTTCCTGTTGCCGCCGCCGTTCAATTTCAACCTGAAGCAAAGTTCTTAACCCAAGGTACTATTTCTGAGTTAGTGGAGTCTGTAACCTGAAGCACTTTTAACCTGAAGTGTCTGTAACCTGAGGTACCACTATATATTCTGCTTGCCCCTTCCACTTCTTTGCTATAATAACTTGTGCAGCTGTCAATAAATTTGTGAGCAAGTGCTTTGTAGCCTGTGAACCTTCCACACCATCGTAAATTGATAATAATGCTACCTCTGGACTTTCAATGAGTTTCAACCCAGTGGTTTCTGTTACCTCCTTAAAAACCCTTTGCCAAAAAAATGTACATGTTTACACCTCCACCACATATGAACATAATTCCCTGTTTCCTGGTATCCCCTCCAACATAACACCAAATATTCCTTGTTTATTTGATTTAATCTGACTGGTGTTAAATACCACCCCCAAATTAATTTATAATAATTTTCTTCTTGGGAAGTATGAAACTGCCTCATACCAGGTTAGACTATTTGTGTCTCTAACCATCAGTGAAGGTGGGCCATTAGGGTGAATAGACACTGAACCACCAACCTCAGCTTGCCCTCAGCCAGCATCTAGTGCCATGCATTCACAGCAGAAAAAATTCCTCTGTGTGAGGTATTTTTTTGGGGGGAGGACGTTACAGGCTTCCACATCCTTCTGCAGGTTTTTATATGTACATTTTGCTTCGTGTTCACTAGAGAAGCCAAATGAGGCCTACAATTTCAGGAACGCTTTGTCTCTGCGTTCATATAAAACGGCAATCAAAGTTTAATAACCACAATCCCAAATGCTCAGATTTTAATTAGTCCATCTATTTTGGCTTATAGCTTGCTATCACAATTCGAGAGGAGTTCTGAGAAGCCCGTGCCATTGAAATTAACTCTTGCCCTCCACTGCCTGCAGTCCAGGGGATACATGACCTCCAACATTTCTCCAATGAAAGCAGGAACATCTTATTCCATAATTAAAAAAAATAATAATTTTATTATTTACACCCACCCACCCCCATCTTACTGGGTTGCCCCAGCAACTCTGGGTGAGGTGGCTTCCAAAATTTTATTAAAAGCATAATAAAATATTAGACATTAAAAAGAAAACTTCTCTATACAGGGCTGCCTTCAGATGTCTTCTATTTTTTAAATAGAGATACCCTCCAAGTATCTCTATTTTACAGGGACAGTCCCAGATTTAGAGAAGCCGACCTTGTTTCTGATTTGATCCGAGAATGTCCCGCTTTTCCTTAGGACATCCCTATTTTCACTGGAGAACTATTGGAGGGTATGGAGTTATCCGACTCCCGAGCTGTCTGAAGGCAGCCCTGTATAGGGAAGGTTTTTTTAAAAAATGTTTTATTTCATCTTAATGTATGCTGGAAGCTGCCCAGAGTGGCTGGGGCAACCCAGTCAGAAGGGTGGAGTATGAACAGTAAAATTATTATTATGGAACAGAGTGTCTCTGTTTTCGTTGTAGAAATGTTGAAGGGTATGTACTGGTACCTGCTCAGTATGAGAAGGGCAACACAGTCCCCCTCCCCAATCTCTCTCACTGCCAACAAAAACCAAGAAACGAATAGAAATAGAAACTACTTGCGTGACACTGACACACAAACCCTATACACACACTATGTAGAAGAATGAAAGTTAGCCACCATCCCCTTCTCTCCCCCCAGCTCTCGCCTCCCCAACTTTATATTGTCTATAATGTCTGTGTCTGACGCTGAATATGAATGATCTGTAGAAAGAAATCTATGAACTGAAAGCAGAGACGCTGTACAGACCTTTGTAACCCAAGAGAATATTTAATAAAAACAATTTTTAAAAATAATAGGTTTTTTTTAAAAAAAGGGCAACATGGAGAGGAAAGACCACATGAAAATTATTATTATTATTGGTAGTGATGGTGTTGATGATTATGATGATAACTCCGGCATATCAGCTTGAGAGCTGCTTTTTGGTAAATGCCAGCAAAGGAAGGCTGCTTTCATAATCAGCTCGCTGAGTTCTGGCTGACCCCTTCCCTTACTTTTGAGGATTTTCGGTGGAGCTGCTGCCTGGCTATGACACTAGGGAGGAACAAGGATGAACACATTACTTTCCCCCAGAGAACCCAGGAATGGTGGTTTACCTCAGCATTCTTGGGATTCTTGGGTGCATGCTTTTAATGCATGGTGTGTATGGAGACAGCGTCATTTTTGTTCCTGTACAAGGTTTCATTTTGACAGCCTCTCAGGGCCCTAAAGCAGGGCAGAAGTATTCTAAATAAATGAATAATCTAAAACCCTTGCAGCAATTCCAGTAGGTAAGTTATTATCCTCATGCCTGCATTGCAGATGAGGGAGCTCTAAAAGAAAAAGTTAATGGAAGCCCTGAGTGAGCTCAGAGCAACGACACAATTCCAACCAGAGACTTCCCAACCTGTAGTACAGAACTATGCACGTCTACTCAGAAGTAAGCCCCATTGAGTTCAGTGGCACTTACTCCCAGGTAAAAAGGATAGCGGCTGTAGTCTCCTAAACCATTATGCTACATCCGCTAGAAAGAGTCAGCCAAGCTCTGTCTAAATAATGTGACACTACTGTTCCTGCTAAATGTAGATAATGGGATTGATCGAAATGCCTTCAGAAAGAATTCCATTATTTTACCAAGCCATTCAGACCAATATGGGAAAATTATTCTAAGTAGAACATCTGTACTATTCTGTGGTGGTGGGTAGGCAAAAGGCAATATTGCCTCTAAAAGCTAATATATTTGCATATTATGATATTGTTTTGTGCAAGGAGCTTCAAGTGCCGTATAGGGGTTATAATAATTTGGAAGGCTTTTAATGCTTGTTTTTGGTGTGTGTTTTTAAAAGGAATGTTCATCATAATGGACATTTAGAATGTTTAGATCCAGAAAGAAGACAATGCAAATGCTAAAAATCTGAAATACATTTCTCCAACCCTCCAGTTTGGTATATTTGGGGAGTAAAATGTGGGGAATCAACTCTGTGTTTGTGGGGTGTGTGACATAGTGGAACACATTTTATTGGAAGCAATTCCACGAGGAATATTTTATTCAATAGCATAACCTCCAACATTGCTCCAATGAAAATAGGGACATCCCATTCGACTCTGGGCATCTTCCAACATATATAAAAACATAATAAAACAGTTTTTAAAAAAACCTTCCCTATACAGGACTGCCTTCAGATGGCTCAGGGGTCGGATGACTCCATGCCCTCCAACATTTCTCCAGTGAAAATAGGGACTGCCTAAGGAAAATGGACGCTGGTGGCGCTGTGATCTAAACCACAGAGCTTAGGGCTTGCCGATCAGAAGGTCGGCGGTTCAAATCCCCGCGATGGGGTGAGCTCCCGTTGCTCGGTCCCTGCTCCTGCCAACCTAGCAGTCTGAAAGCACGTCAAAGTGCAAGTAGATAAATAGGAACCGCTCCGGCAGGAAGGTAAACGGCGTTTCCATGCACTGCTCTGGTTTGCCAGAAGTGGCTTAGTCATGCTGGCCACATGACCCAGAAGCTGTCTGCGGACAAACGCTGGCTCCCTTGGCCATTAAAGCGAGATGAGCGCCGCAAACCCAGAGTCGTTCGCGACTGGACAACTGTCAGGGGTCCTTTACCTTTTAGCCCTACAAAATAAATTCCTAACAGTGATTTATTCTTCATGAAGCACCACAGTCACTTTTAAAATATATATACCATTTTGTTAAAGTCCACGACTGGACTTAACAGTCAGGGGTCCCTTTACCTTTACCTTACAGGAAAAATGGGACATTCTGGGATCAAATCAGAAACTGGGGTGACTTCTTTAAACCAGGAAATAGGAGCACTAGGAAGGTCTGTAATAGGAGTTTGTTGTCGTCCGTGTCCTTGTCCGCCAAATTACCACTTTAAATCCAATCCAGTCAAATAAAATTGAAACCTAGGTGTTGATCCTGCGGCCCGTTTTCTATATTTCCTTTCCCACTGCCAGTTATTCCACAGGACACTGTTAAATGTAGATAAGAAGGCTGGATTGGTTTTGCTACAAGATGATAATTTCTCCCCCTCAACCACCACCACTTTTCTTTCTCACTATGGCCTGTTAGCTTAAATGGGTTTTAGCCAGAGGTTGATAATTATCATAGAGAGGAAAGTAACACCGCCAGGAGTTCATTTTCCATTTTGGCACTTGCCTTCCTTTGAATCCTCCCCACACCTTGGCCCCCCTCCCCGTTTCCCATTTTGTCACTTCTTACGCCACCCCTCCCTCTATCATAAAAGGGTCTCCGCAGACAGGGGAGGCCCTGCTTGCAGCTTTGACAGGAAATCATTCCCGCTTTCCCCCTTGCCACAAATCGGGCCAGGCTTTGGTGAGCATGGAAGGGAGCGCGGAGTCAGAGAACTCTTCCTACTTCTCCTCATGGGACTGGAAGACTGGGCCTCTGGAGCTCAGCCAGAGCTCATCTCCCCAGAGCATCTCTCCATCCCCTTCCTTCGAATCCTATGCATCCTCGCCTTGTCCCCTTGTGATGGAGATGCCCTGTGCCAGCAGCAGCACCGACAGCAGCAACAGGAGCTATAACCTGATGGACTTTCCTCCTGTCTATCTCCCGGGCCCTGGCCAGGGCAAAGCCCTAGCCAAGGGCTCCAAAGTCAGGATGTCCGTTCAGCGCCGGAGAAAGGCTAGCGAAAGGGAGAAGCTGAGGATGAGGACCTTGGCCGAAGCGCTGCACACTCTTCGCAACTACCTGCCTCCCGTCTACAGCCAAAGGGGTCAGCCTCTCACCAAGATACAGACGCTGAAATACACCATCAAGTACATCAGCGAGCTCACAGACCTGCTGAACAGCATCAAGCAAGTATAGAGAGGCCTGGGAGACTCTGGGAAGGTTTCCTCACTGAGAAAGCAGGAGTCTTTCCCCCCTTTCTTTAAGGAGTAACTTTCCATCGGACAAGCGTGGACCTGTTCAGAAGCTGCTCTGCAAACAAGCTGATCTAAAGGGAGCTGCCCACAGTTGCATGTTTGTATCGGACGAGGCAAAGGAGGACCAGATCTCAGTCAGGAACAATGGTGACAGTGTGGTTTTGAAAGGATCATGATTCCACAGAACAATTTTTTAAAATTAATTATAGCTGACCAAATTTCTTCTGCTTAGGTATGCTTTTGAGTTGGTGATCTGTGGACTTCTTTCATTTTTTTTCTTTTTAAACCCTGTATGTTTGCTATCATGTCTCTTTGCAGTTTGTAGGCACTTTATATTAGCTGCAGGATAAATATGTGTATGATTATTTGGAGAAATGCTTCTTCGCTTATTTTCTACAGTAGCTTTGGTGGAGGAAAGGAAACGTTTGAAATAAAAAGCTGCTTCCATATGGGTTGATTATATCCCTGAAAGAGATTAGTGTTGGAATTCTAATCCGAGATCGTTTTTAGTTGTTACTATTTAGAAAATATTCCTGCCCCCCCCCCCCCCGCTGTCAAATATTCCCAGGATAGTTATATTTCCAACATAGAGTACATTGCTATGGTTCATTTCAATCTGAAAGCATCTACGCCTCTGCAAATGTAGAACTGCTGTCTATTGGATAGAGCTCAAAGCAAATGTATGGCAACCAGGAACAAAGGAAAGAGGGTTAGTCCATTGCATGGGTAGGCAAACTAAGGCCCAGGGGCCGGATCTGGCCCAATCGCCTTATAAATCCAGCCCGCAGATAGTCCGGGAATCAGCATGTCTTTACATGAGTAGAATGTGTCCTTTTATTTAAAATGCATCTCTGAGTTATTTGTGGGGCATAGGAATTTGTTATTCCCCCCAAAAAAATATAGTCTGGCCCCCCACATGGTCTGAGGGACAGTGGATTGGCCCCCTGCTGAAAAAGTTTGCTAACCCCTGGTCTATTGGTATCTAAAGGAACATAACTGATGCAGGAGGCATGTGTCCTCAGGGCGCATAAAGTAAGCTTAGTTCCAAGCAATGTACAAATTTCCTGGCAAGCAGTTCATGTGGTTTACAGTTGAGATGTGTGAGCTGTTAAAACAGGACAGGGCCCCTGTCTCAAAAGGGCTCCTGTGCAGACAGCATTGCGCAATCCATGTCTAGACCATCACATGTGATGTGTGTGTGTGTGTGTGTGTGTGAATGTACACGTGTCCCCAGTGTGTGTTTATGCAGTGATATACATGCACACTCAGCAGCTGGCTCATGTGACTACCTGCACACTGCTTCCATGCTATTCCTGCATTTAGGCTGCAATCCTGCACATACTTTCCTGGATTCACAGGGTTGCCGTATTTCGAAAGGCTCTTGAGCTTATCTGGTGCAAAGTTCTTCAAAATCCCCCCCCCCAAAATGATTTTTTTAAAGCTATTTTTTAGGAAATTTGCCAAAAAACAAACAACCCATCACCTGATTTGGGTTGCCACATACCCAAGTTTCCCCAGGCATTTATACTGATTTTTGGAAATTCCACCCGGACGCTATTTCTGATGGAAGAATCCCATATATGTCCAGGAATTTTCCAACGTATGGCAGCCCTAGTCTGGAAGCCGGTCCCATTGAATTCAATGGGGTTGGCTTCTGAGTAGCCTGGGCTGAGCTTAAAAGTCCTTTGCTGAGTAGCAACTGCATTGCATTTGAAGGAGCCCCCACATACCTGGGTGATCAGGAAGCCTTTAATATTATAGAACAAGGATTTTAACTGCTGGGTGATAAAATGTAACAGGTTTGATCCCCGTCTGGGACAACTGCACATTCCTGCATTGCAGGGGGTTGGACTAGATGATCCCTAGGACCCTTTCGAATTCTACAATTCTCTGATCCCTTGGTGATCTGCTTGCTCCATTATTAGCCTGTTGGACCAGTGATCTGCTCTTTGCAGAATCCGCAGCTGGGAAATAATGCCTTTTTGGGACCAACTTTGGGGCAAGCTTTGTGTTCTCCTGAATTCTTGGATCAAGCAAGATGTTACACAAAGCAGGGCAACAAAATCTGCCTGTGTTTTCTTAAAGTTGCTTCCTTCATTCCTTGTTTTTTCTCCTCCTTCCCCCTTCCTGTTTTGTGTAACACCTTGCCTGATGAAAACAGTCTGGGAAACTCGGAACCTTGTCGCACTTTTGTGGTGGAATCTACACACATAAAAACCGTTCTGAAATTTTATTTTATTTTTATTTAAAAGCGTTTTTTAAAAATACACTGAATTTTCCATAAGACTCACCATCACCATCTAGTGTATCATACTTAAAACACTCTTAAAATGTTTTATTTGGAGCTGGATAGCTGAGTCCCGTGAAGGTATTGCCCAGCTGTGAGTTTTGACTTCCCAACTCCCTAGGGGTTAGGGGTTAGTACAGCTACATTTGGTTTTATATACAGTGGTAGCTCAGGTTACAGACACTTCAGGTTACAGACGCTTCAGGATACAGATTCTGCTAACCCAGAAATAGTACCTTGGGTTAAGAACTTTGCTTCAGGATGAGAACAGAAATTGAACGGCGGCGGCAGCAGGAGGCCCCATTAGCTAAAGTAGTACCTCAGGTTAAGAACAGTTTCAGGTTAAGAACGGACCTCCAGAACGAATTAAGTTCTTAACCTGAGGTACCACTGTAATCTTCTCTGGCTGCAATCCAGATTGTTTAGATGCCAGCCGCTGCTGTGCTTTCCACTGACATCAAGGAGCTAAAGATCTCAGGACTGCATCCATAACAATCTTGTGATTGCTACCCAGAGTCCAGCCCACGAAGGCAGAAGCCCAGTGCAGGGGTTCTCCAAAGTGCATGGCTTCCCTTTCCTTGCATGGGTTCCAATATAACAAATGTGAAGTGTCCCATCTTCCTCGGTGCTCTGTATTGTGATGGCTAGCATATGAGACACAGCTCTGTCACACAGTCAGTCATTCCACAGGCCCAACCACAGAATCAGAAGAATCCTTATTTTCATCAGCCACTAGCCATAGCAATAAAATAAAACACAACGTACAGTGGTACCTCGGGTTACATACGCTTCAGGTTACAGACTCCACTAACCCAGAAATAGTACCTCGGGTTAAGAACTTTGCTTCAGGATGAGAACAGAAATCGTGCTCCGGCGGCAGGCGAGCGGGGGCCCCATTAGCTAAAGTGGTGCTTCAGGTTAAGAACAGTTTCAGGTTAAGAATGGACCTCCGGAACGAATTAAGTACTTAACTCGAGGTACCACTGTACTGAAGATAGAGGCAAAAAATTAACTATACAAAATACATTTTGGAGGTTTACATCAATAATCAAATAATAGATCTTATTCTAATTGCCCCTGCTAATTTTTTTGCAGTTTTGGCTGTCACCTGATTATCTTGATCTGCTAGAATAAAGGACACAGCAAATGGTTGAGCGACCTGGTCTGGATAGTAGCAGAGGGGTAATAACCTCACTCCTCAAATTGTTATAAAGAGAGCAAGCCAAAAACACACGAGCTACTGATTCAATACTGCCATCTCCACATGGACATAAGCATTTTTCCAGCAGGATTTTTTGAAATCGACCCTCAAATACAACTGAAGACAGTATATTTAAGACCCAACCATACTGGGGTGAGAGGAAGGATTCATCAAGCAGGTCCATTTTGTGTTGTGGTAAAGTGCTTTTGGGGTAGCTCGCTTGGTAAAAGGTAAAGGGACCCCTGACCATTAGGTCCAGTCATGGCCAACTCTGGGGTTGCGGCGCTCATCTCGCTTTATTGGCCGAGGGAGCCGGCATACAGCTTCCGGGTCATGTGGCCAGCATGACTAAGCCGCTTCTGGTGAACCAGAGCAGCGCACGGAAATGCCGTTTACCTTCCCGCCTATTTCTCTACTTGCACTTTGAGGTGCTTTTGAACTGCTAGGTTGGCAGGAGCAAGGACTGAGCAACGGGAGCTCACCCCGTAGCGGGGATTCGAACCGCCGACCTTCTGATCAGCAAGTCCTAGGCTCTGTGGTTTAACCCACAGCGCCACCCGCGTCCTAGCTCACTTGGTAGGGCACTCTTAATCTGAGAGTGATGGGTTTGAGCCCCACATCAGGCAAAAGATTCCTTCATTGCAGGGGGTTGAGCTAGATGACCCTCGCGGTCTCTTCCCACTCTCCAATTTTATGATTCTCTGGTTCTATGAAGGCTGGAATTCAAGACATCCCTACTTAGAATAAAGGCCCGTTTATTTCAGGAGCCCTTACTCCAAGGTAAGTGGGGTTATGATTGCAGTCTAATTCTTCAGTTGTACAAAGAGAATCAAAATTTAAGGGAAATTTACATACCTGCGAATAAATCTCCACCCAAGCATACTTTGAAATACTGGGATGTTCCTTTCTTATTTTTTTTATTTATTGGTTTTGTTAAATAATTTCAGTTGCAAGCAATCTTTATATGTAGTAAGAACAGAAAAATGCAGGATGGCATTCAACTGGATTTTAAACAGAGTAGAGCCACTGAAATTAATGAGCACGATTAAGTCAGGTCCATGAATTTTGATGCACCTACTCTGAGTAAAATTGAGTTGAATACCACCTACTGTCCTTTGAAATAAAGTGTGCTGTAACGTTTTAGTATCCATCCATCACTTCAAATTATAGCAGTGCTCAACACATCCCCCCAAAGTGTAGTCAGAGCCTAGGAGGTCTCTCTAGCCTTTGACAATGTTGTTGTAAATTGCTCTTTTTATTTTCTCCCTAACCACCCACTATCACCCTACAAGGAGCCTAGAAACCTCTGCATGCAAGTCTTAAGTTCCTGTTAACTTTAAGTTAATCAATGTCAAAGGCTGCATCAGGCTGCAACGTGCAAAAGAAAACATTTGCATTGTCAATTCTGCTTGAAATTGATTTCGCACGACCCTGTTCTGCCCTCTGAGAGCAGAACATGGGGAGGGGAACGAGAAGGATCTGTATAATGCTGCAATGCAGATACGAAGAGAAGGATGCAAGGAGTTCACCTTTCCTTTTGCCTGGGACATGGCACACAGGGACAGGTACACAGAATAGCTTTGAAATGCACACCGCACAGTGTGAAAGAAAGGTTGGGAATGGTACTAATGAAGACACAGTCTTGGATTGTCTGGTTTGCAAATAATAGCATGACTTTAAAAAATCGGATCACTTGTTCCTCCACAATCAAGCTTTTTTTTTTTTTTTACATTTCAGTATATGGGCACAGAAATGTAATTGTCCCTTATTGTCTCAGCTCTAGAAATATTTACATGGAAGGAGCGTCTTTTAAATGGCATGGAGGTACGTTTAAAGCATGTGGTTCTTCCTTAGGTTATCAGCAACTGCTGTACAAA